AACACAGAGGGCCTATCCCTAAAATAACTCAAACTATAAAAAATAGTCGTAAAGTCTGAAGATCAAGGGGGCACGGGTGGCCCAGTCGTCTAAGGCGCCTCGATTCGCTGTGCAGAGTTGCGGACCTCAAAGAGAGCAATCCGTCCTGGACAGCCGTGGAATACAATAGACTGGGGAACTTAGCCAAACTGTGTTTCTAAACATGGGGAAAAAATATCATAAATACATTAGAAATATCTGAGCGTACATTTAAATACTCCTAAAGTTTGAAAATCATAGTTACAAAAACATTTTCAATACAAGAATAGACCGCCTCCGTGGTAAAGCGTCCGCCCGGAGAGCGGAAGGTCCGGGGTTCGATCCCGAGCAGCGTCAGACGTTAACAGAAGGTACTTGTTGTTACCCTGTCTGGCGCTCGCATTAAAGGGGTAAAACAAAGACTGGTCGGCCCGGAGTCAGTATACTGTGTCTGAGTGGGGTATTTATGTTATGTTATGTTAATCAAGTCAATACACGGTATGAGAGTGCCATTAGATTACAAGAGAATGAATTAGTCGGGCCACGTATTCCTTGGGGCGGTCGGGTAGCCTAGTGGTTAAAGCGTTCGATCGTCACGCCGAAGACCCGGGTTCGATTCCCGACATGAGTACAATGTGTGAAGCCCATTTCTGGTGTCCCCCGCCGTGATATTGCTGGAATATTGCTAAAAGCGGCGTAAAACCTCACTCAATCACTCACTCACTCACTCCTTAACACAGAATGTATTGACACGGAACAATGACGCCCGCCGGACTTTGCCGATCGGTGTCGGGAAAAAAGCCGAGGAGCGGAGAGATCACTACACCGTGACACGAGCAAAATAACTACCCGGTGACACTATGTACGTGACATTCTTTTATTTAATCATTCTGTATATTTTGAATACTTGCTTACTTCGATATTTGTAGTCACTGTGTAGTAACGAATCGACGTATTGCGTGTCAAAGTATGTTTGAATCTGGGAATACTTGATCAGGTAAATCTTCAATGAAACAACTCCAGGGCCCACTTGCACAAAGCGATCTTAGCGCTAAGACTACCGTAAGTCTATGTTAAAGTATGGGAGTTACGATCATCTTAGCGCTAAGATCGCTTTGTGCAAGTGGGCCCAGTTGTGTAAACCTGCCTCGCAGACCAACGTCACGCCAATCAAGCCATTCTGGCACGCATTGACTTATCTCGAGAAAGTAGGTCTCAGCAGTTTATATATAGCATCAGTGCTTCACAGCTGGTAGATATATATATATTCATGATCCTTATATATATACAAGGGGATTCTAAGAATATACGTTATTACTTAAACATGACGCGTGAGGCTAACGTGAGCGACAGCGTATGCTAATACCTACACTGAACAAAAAATCAATTGTCGAAAGATGTAATGAAGATGAACAATGAACATATACTGAACAAAACAAGTTAAGGATCATTAATGTTGTTTGGGATATATTTATATGGTAAAGATTGAGTTTCTATTAATGTGTACGGAATAAAATAATATTTTTTCACGATCCCTAACTTTTTTTTGTCCATTGTATTTGATAAAGCATAAAAAATATTTTTGTTTTTTTAACGGCGGCCCGTAAAAAATCGATTCTGGACCAGATAAACCAGTGATTGATATTATGAGCAACAAGCCCTCCATCTGTGAGGATGGCATGCATTCTTCCAAGTCTCTGGCCCTGACGTATCCATTGAATATATAATTAAGTTGCCTGTTGAGACCAGCATATGTTGCTGGAGATTCAATGGTAACCCGTAGTCATTAAATGAGATGTTCAGTGCGGAGGTTTTTGAAATTCCTACGCTATGTATGAAAGTTAAAGTTCAGTTAGTGCTAACAATACTATCAATAAACGCAATACAGATATTTGAAACGTGAAAGGACGTTCACAGTCACCTCAACCGCATCCCAAATACCTGGACTGCGCAGAATCTCCGACCAGACCGTACGAAACCGTTTAAGAGCAGCAGATCTACGATCAAGACGTCCTGTTCGACGCGTCATACATCGTCAACAACGGCTGCATTGGTGTCGTCAACATAGGGTATGGCCTCAACTGCGATGGAGAGATGTCTGGTTCAGCGACGAATCAAGATTTCTCCTCCGTCGAGGGGATGACAAACGTCGGGGAGAACTTTACGCCGGAAACTGCATACAGGAAGTGGACAGGTTTGGTGGGGGTAGCGTAATGATGTGGGCGGATATCTCTCATCATGGCAGGACAGATTTAGTCCATATCCGGGGCAGTCTTACGGCTCAACGATACATCAACGAAATTCTCCTACCACACGTCCTCCCAATTGCAGCCAACGGCAACGGTGTATTCCAGCAGGACAAAGCTAGACCGCATACAGCACGGACCACAAGAGCCTGTTTACACAAAAACAACTTTGATGTTTCCCCCATCCCCCAGATCCCCGGATTTGAACCCGATAGAGCACCTCGGGGATGAATTGGATAGACGGCTACACCGACGTCAACCACAACCCTAGACGTTGGCTTTTGCGTTGCGGGCCGAGATGGCTACCATTCCCTAGGATGTGATTCGCAGACTCGCCTCTTCCAGATGTCTGGCCGCTATCGATTCCAACGGGGTAGCTGACCTTCACCTTGGACTTTTCCTGTGTACCAATAACTGAGATGACTACAATCGCCAAGTGTTCTCTCCGAAACATTTTGGCTCAATACCTTGTACGGTTAGATGTACTTTCCTACCTCACACAAATCTGGCTTTGCGTTTCTGTTTATTGAACTGCATTAATAGAACTTGGAAATCATTCAATACTCCACATAACGAGGGGGGATTGAGCATTAGCGTTAGACACACAATTACTGTCAATGGTGATCTGACTTGGAAATACTATAGCTGTGTAAGCATTTCATCAACATAAACAGCATCTGCAGACCACGTTGACTTAAAGGTGACTACTAAATGCATTGGACAAGACAGAAGACTGTCAATCGATTTTTATGCTGATGTCAATGTGTTTGCATGGGTGCCATGTATACGGCAGCCTGTTTGCAGGCATTGAAGTTGCTGACTAACGAGACATGTTCGTGTTTTCATTCAGCCAACAAGATTCTCAAGCGCAATTCACATGGCCGAGCTAATCTACCGCATGGATAATGTAGCTGTCACATTGTCCGCCTAGTGATGGTTCATGTTTCATTCTCTTGCACGTGCTTCTCAACGGGTAATTGTGCTCGTTTCCAGAGAAGGGGAAGTGGAGGTGAATAAGATATGTGAATATATAATACGATGGTACTCATAGCTGTTTGTTTTGTTGTTTCACGCCGCACTTGGATATTCTCCGCTATGTGACGCCGGCTTGTAAATGATCGAGTCTCGTCATGACAAACCAGTGGGTGATATTATCAACAACGATTCACGCATTGGAGGTACGACGATATGCAATCAGCCAATTATCCGAGCCTGGTCACGCGATCCATGAAGTCTTTTATGACGTTTGTTTGTTTGTCTGGGAAGGGAGGTGGGGGTGAATAAGAATGTGAATATATAATACGATGGTACTCATAGCTGTTTGTTTTGTTGTTTAACGCCGCACAAAGCAATATTTCAGCTATATAGCGGACTTTAAATAATCGAGTCTGGACCAGACAATCAAGTGATTAACATCATGAGCATCGATCTACGCAGTTGGGATACGATAACATGCATCAACCAAGTCAGCGAGCCTGACCATCCGATCCGTAAGTCGCGACAAGCATAGTCGCCTTTTACGGCAAGCATGGGTTGCTGAAGACCTATTCTGAATCGTGTCTTCACTGGTCCGGTATAAGTTAACCGTCATAATATATATTAGATAGTTTAGTAAGCCGGTCATGGCCAAAGGCCGACTCTCGTCAAGTGGGCCATGATTTGTTTGTTGATGTAGTTCTGTAAGTAATCAATACTGGAACAGATAATTCAGAGATTGATATTACGAGCAATAAGACACGAAAACACGCTATCGACCAAGTCACCGAGCTCGAAATATATGGACGAAATATAAACTGAGGATCAAAAGAAAGTACAGTAAACTACGGTTATAACGAACACGCTTATAACGAGCTGATGGATATAACGAACTAACGTTTTTGGTCCCGTCTATTTGCTGTAGTTATTCTGTATATGTGCTTATAACGAACTACGGTTATAACGAACTCAAATTAGAAGTCCCTTTGAGTTCGTTATAACCGTAGTTTACTGTATACCTCGTAGTTGATTTTATCCTATGTCTGATTTTCAATCGATAATATAAGAAGTTAGCGATATTATATAAAAAAATAAATGTTCTGGCGCGTAGTCAGCACTAAAAGAAAATGAGTTTCTCCGAAAAGTTATCTGTGGATTCGACTAGGCAGCGCTTCCTGGGAGAAGTCCCATTGGCTGTCTGGGCTGCGGGTTGAGGGGCAAGGGCCCTGAGCTGATGATGAGTCTAACCAGCCTGACTGTGCCAGGATCACCCAAAACCTATTTGCTGCATTTATGTATTTTAATAATAATAATAATAATAATAATAATAATAATACCAACAGCGTGGATCGATGCTCATGATATCAATCACTGGATTGTCTGGCCCAGACTCGATTATTTACAGACCGCCGTCATATAGCTGGAATATTGCTGACTGCGGCGTTAACAACAAAACAAGCAAGCAACAAGCAACCAAAACAAGGCACAACATATCTATGCATTTCCATCACATGACGCTGAGAACACATTTTTTTTTTCATCACAAATAAGAAAATATGACTTCACGTTTCTTGCAGAGCCCGTGACATCTCAACATAATATATCCTCCCCAGGATCACATCGTCCACGTTGTGACGCACTTGCTAGATTTTGTGCAGGACGAGTTTAATGCGCTGCCTCGGCTATCATATTGCCTCACATTCGTGGCCTCGTGACACGAAACACATTTATTTACACGTGAATGAAACAAGCAACGCGAGAGGCATCTAATCATGTTAGTATATGTAACTCGACGTTTCTGCAGAGGTCTAGCACGAAGTATTGAACTTGCGATAAACAGTGTCACCACCAAACTTGTCGATGCAAGACGGAGCAGTACAGGGAACACGTTTTCATTCAGTTGACTGTAAATAGCTTTCCTCGGAACCGCTTGAGTGGTCAGTCTGTGTGCTGCTTCAGAATAATGTTGACTGCTTGTGTATTTCAATGTGACATTCCCTTCGTATCTTGGCTTGTGTTTATTGGTTACTTGGGTCTGTTCATTGCCTACGTACACCCATCATTTTTGTGATCCGTGTGCAAATATCACTTGAGTGGCGGGATCGGTGCACATGTACCTAAACATATCCGCGAACAAAATATACGGTCGCCTTCCCCAGGTAAGACTCATTCATTGAACATTGCGACGACAAGCTGATAAGGTATTGTGTTGCTTGTGTGTCTTAAAATGTTTCAGATGTCTTGATTACATACTGATATATGTCGTTATTCAACGGTTTGTTTTACTTCATAATGTCATTATTATTCGTTTAATCGTTGAAAACATTAACTTTAATATGTTAGAAACATTTGATGTTAGACTGTCATGATCGTGCATTCGTTTTATGTTTTATCATATGTGTATAAACATGTACAATATATATAGACATATCCTAACGAAGCCTTATGAAATATTATGATTCATATTTGTAAATTGTAAATTTATCAGCTCAAGTTCCAGGTTAGCAATAGGAATTGTGATAAATATTTTATTCTTGTAAATACGTTGTTATACAGATGGTATTTATACTGCTTACGTAATCCAATTATTGACGATTATTGTGATGATGATTTCGACGCAAATTATGATACTTCTGACATGTTTTATTAAACAACGTGGCATTAGGCTGATGTAATATTAATTATGGTCATGATAATGATAATAATCATGCAGGGTCGTCATATCTCGATTCGCTTGCGTCACTTAAACGTGGGTTCGAATCCCGGACTCGTCCTGATTATGTGTCTAGGTTTGTCAGCACCAAATCCGTGCTTGTGGACTTCATGGACGTTGAAAACGTAAAAAACACATGCAGGGCTATAGGACACAACCCACATCAGGAAGATATTAGTGCGATATAACGCGCTGGGAATACTCTTCGACTCGCTCCACTAATATCCCGACGTTGAATACTTGTGTGTATAATCTTAGTTTCGTGGTAACGTGATTCATTCGTACATAATAGTACATAATAGCCGAATGTTATTTTATATTAATAAAGGCATGCGAAAATATCATCGTTACCCCACCCGCGTCATAAAACACCCGAATTATTTCCTGGCGAAAATTGACCTGCGCACACCGCTTGTTAGCTAAACCAGTTTAACAACCATCTGTCGAGATTATAAAGACAGTACGCTTATCAGCTTAAACCTATCCAGATCTGCTCAACGTGCCGCCTTTATACAATTAATACTAATGAAGAGGTAGACTGTTAACAAATGTTATAACAATAGACACAATTACCCGAACCAACGGAGATGTCGAACACTTTTTGATTGAATAACCTGGTGCTCTTGACCCCACAGCTTTAGTAGTGCGTAGGTCACAAAGTACGTCGTTCGTATTATAAGACACGTCCTGAAGGTAGCTAAACACAGCGATGTTATCAGCCATTTCAAAATGTCGGGCGACCTACTTCGCTCAGCCGTCCTTGACACTGGGTAGCGAATAGCGTTCCCTTTCTTGACGCATTCCTCCAACTTGCATCATCAGTCATCGGAGAGTTGGGATTCAGGGGGATCTCGCATTTATGCTATGTTTACGTTGAGACTGGAAGTTGATTATTTGTATTGTTAAATTAGTTTGTGGCTTTTAATGTTGCCTTGCTCCAAGGCTGTACTGAATATAAATCCATGGATGTGTTGTAATTCTATCCTCCTAAGACAGTCTAAGGAATCCAGTCTCTTATAGGGACAAGTCGTTCTTATTACAGTAAACTACGGTTATAACGAACTCAAAGGGGCCACTAATTTCAGTTCGATATTGCCGTAGTTCGTTATAACAGAGACCATTTCTATTATATGGTCTCTGGTTATAATCATATGTCAGTGTATATACAGCAGGACGGGGCAGAAAAACAGTTCGTTTTATCCCTCATTTCATTATAAGCGTGTTCGTTACAATCGAAGTTTATTGTATTTACATAATCCAGAACTTATGATTTAAGATGAGGTGAAATGGGGTTTAACGTCGCGTCCAAGATTATTGCAACGTTGGTTGCGGAGAGTAGTTGAATGGGTGACCGTATTCAGCTGTTTGGCTCCCGGGAAAAGGAGTGTCTTTGGCTCTGATCCTGTCCGGCCGCACTGAAGCACATGTAGCACATGGAGTGCTTACATAGGCAAGTGACTTGTTCGAAATATGCCTCCATTCACTCAGCAATGAATGGGTACCCGGTAGAATGAAACGGCAATGTGACTGTTTACTTTCTAGTTTTGGTGGTATACTCCCAAAGGAGCCTAGAAAGAACAAATCGAGTGCACATTGACCGGGAGAATAATGGTTCCCTTAGAACGCTTATATACACATGGAACATAGTAATTGAAATTTACTATGAATTTTTAAATTAACTCGTAGAATGCGTGTGATCCCTGTTCGCAATAACAAAATGACACATTTTCATCTTGGCATATGGGAGTGTAATGATGTAATGACGTATATAACATTACAAAGCCATTAAGGTGAGGTGAGGTGAAATGGGGTTTAACGTCGCGTCCAAGATTATTGCACTTATATAGCGACGTGCATGCACGTGTATGTGTGGCTGCTTGTACTAGACAGGACTGATGCCGATTTATAATGCTAGACCACTGAGATACCATGCCGCAGTTTAACATGAATTCCCCACTCAGACACAGTATACTGACTCCGAGCCGACCAGTCCTTGTTTTAGCCCCTTTATGCCGAGCGCTAGACAGGGCAACAGCAAGTACCATCTTTTAACGTCTTTGCAGTTCAGAGGTTTTTTTATGCACTTACGCACTAAATATAATTATCTTCCCCTAATGTTTGTCATATTTTTGGATGACCCTCCCGATGTCCTTGAACATTTTATTATGACATTCCCCGAAAAGACAAAAAGCACTTTATAATTAATAATAATATGTCCATTTTTTCACCAAATATGTGTAATTTTTTTATGATCCTCTCCTACTATCATATGTTGGGTGACCTTCCCCGGGTTTTCTCTGACCCATCCCATCCTATAATAAATGACCGGTCCCTCATGTCGTGCTGTCCGTCCGTCCGTCCGTTGTTAACCCGTTAAGGGAGGCGGGGTCGGGCGCATAAGGTAGTCGCATGTTGGAAAAATAGTTCAGTAAAAACAATATTAAAATTACATCGACACGGAACTACCATAATGACTTTTCCATGGTCCGATTATTTCCGAGAAGTATTTATTTGAGAAGTGTATGTGTGTATGCTTTATATTGGTTTTGGTTATTTAGATGAGACTAAGATATCCGGAACATTAGGACGAGATGTACGGATAACCCATTCACCACATCTTGCATAAAATATTAATGAAACATATGATTTAAGATACGCTAGAGTTCCTCGGAAAATTTAAATTGAATTTCTCTCTCTCTCACCCCCCCCCCCCCCCCCCCCCTCTCTCTCTCTCTCTGAGATGAGTGAATGAGTAGTGAGTGAGTTGATATTAAACTTCACATCGGCAATATTTCAGCCTATCGTGACGACTCTCCGAGATGAGTGAGTGAGTGAGTGAGTATGGTTTTACGCCGCTTTTAGCAATATTCCAGCAATATCACGGCGGGGGACACCAGAAATGGGCTTCACACATTGTACCCATGTCGGGAATCGAACCCGGGTCTTCGGCGTGACGAGCTAACGCTTTAACCACTAGGCTACCCGACCGCCCCCTCTCCGAGATGAAGAAGGGACGGGGAGCAGGCTCAGTGACTAGGATGTATACGTGTCATCTTTCACACCGAGCGTTTTTTTATTTCATACATATCAAGACGATAAAAGGTAAAAACTTCCGAGACTTGCCGCGGGGTTTAAAACTTTTATCGACCAGTGTTGATACGTTTGATGTCAAAAGACACGAAGGTGAGACTCTATTGTCTTCCATCATTTCATTTCAGTTTGTAAACAGTAGTATCAATACATTGAGTGTAAAAAGTAGAGCTAGCCAGCATCGGTGGAAGGGAGATTAGCGATGTCATTTGATCGTGACGTCATAGTAACCGATGATGTCATAGTAACCGATGACGTCACAATGGCCTGCAAAGCATTGTGATGCAATTTATTCATCAAAAGTTCGGGACTTACAACATTCACTCACTCGGGACAGATAATGTGTGACCTCCTCGTAGCCATTTGGTGAATCCCTAAATATCACCCGAGTGATATCTCAATTTTTTTGTTTGTTGTTTAACGCCGCATTCAGCAATATTCCAGCTATATGACGGGGATCTGTAAATAATCGAGTCTGGACCAGACAATTAAGTGACTGATGTCATGAGCATCGATTCACGCAATTGAGATACGATGACATGCGTCAACCAAGTCAGCGAGCCTGACCACCCGTTAGTCGCCTCTTACGACAAGCATAGTCGCCTTTTTACGACAAGCATGGGTTGCTGAAGACCTATTCTACCCCCGATCTCCACGGGTCGATATCTCCAGTGAATTATTTGATAGGCATTAGCTAGAAGTTGACGGATGATAAAGAAGACACTATTTATGATTAAAACAAAGTTACGTGAACTTTATTGATAGTTGGATAGACGCAATCATTTTGCTAACACTCAAATAGTTTGAGTATGGGTACTAAATCGTCCCATAGCCTTCCTTGAAAGGTTCCCCTCCCGTAGTTAAACAAGAGCGGTCACCCTCCCATAGTATAGCACAGTATAGTGAATATCACTTGAGGATTAGTTTGAGGCATTAACTTGATTGGAACTTTGTTTTAAGTAGGAGAAAGTCCTCAATCTCGCGATTATTTTCGCATTTGAAACTTGTTCTCGGCCTAACGGACTCGAACAAGCTTCACGTGCGAAAATAAACGCGAGATTGAGGACAATCTCCTATACATAACAACTTCTTTATTTACCATAGATGCTGGGTTGTCAGCCCTGCTTGACAACGGTATAAGGATCTATTCGGAACGTTGCCTTTGCAGACGTTGTTATACATAAATTGTGTCTACTTTGATATCTCCAGTGGAAGCCAGTTTTGGGGGATAGAACGGAATTGCAGTTACCGTATTCCAGGTAATAAGAGCCCTGTTCATATAGGCGCCCACGGCGATATTTGCTAATATATTGGCTTGTGAACAATCCCAATTAACACCCCTTCCGAGTGATCAAT